TGCTATGCTAAAAGTGAAAGAGAAGAAAGTTTAGAAAAATATATATTAATTTTGTGATATTATTTCCATTATGCGCTATCGCACTTTTCTTTCTTCGTGTTTTCGTTGTACCAAAATAATTTTTGTTAAAACGATGACGAGGTTGTTGGGAAAATGTTCTTGCTAATTTTAATTTACTATGGAAGTCAATTAACGTTATTTGTTGTTGATTTAATTAACGGAAGACATGGTGAGTGTGATGATACGTGTGTTGTGGGGGTTGGAGTGAAAAGGGGAATTTTAGGGATGTCACCTTCTTCTTGTTTATCCCATGAATATGATGAATAGCATGTTAACGTGACGATGACGATGACGATTCGAGCCACAAAATCTGATAACCTCAAAATATAAAATAGATTGACAGTGTCCTTCCACGGAAAAATACGGTACCAAACGTGACAGGGGAAATTAATCTTCTGCTGTGGAAGTTGGAAATTTATTTTATTTTTTAAAAAATGGTAAAAGATATATTTTTTTAGCTATAAATTGAGATTAAAATAAGACAATTCTCCTATTAGGTTTTAAAAAAATTATCAACCTCTTTCAAGATTTACAATGAGATTAAGGATTGTCTATATGATCTCAAACGTAAGTCTTAACTTAGTAAAAATTCAATATGAAATAATTTAAAAAGTATAAAAATATGTGTATAATTACGTGAAATATTAAAAATCATATATCAAAGAATTTAATACAAAATAATAAAATGTTTATACCTGATTTTATAAATTAAATGTAAATTTTAAAATATAATATATTAGGCATAATATGTGATGTTCTAAGAAAAATATACTTTAAAAATATAAATTTAAAGAAATTAATTTTATAGTATAAAAAATGAAATTTATATAAAGTTAATACTTTGAAGGTTAATGGGTTATAGATTTCATGTTTTAAGATAATAAACAATAAAATAATATATACCATGAGTAAATAGGACTTTTTATCTCTTAATTACTCTTTTTTTATATATATAGATGTGATAGCAACATCTCAAAGGTGAAAACAAAATATTAATAAGGAAGAAAAAGTGGATCAATCCATTTAAAATAGCATAAGATGAGTGGATTTGTCAAATAAAATGAATTAACAAATGTAATATGCACCACTTATTAGTAGGTAGGTTAATTCACTTTTGTGAGTTTGAGTTAAAAATTGTGGATTATCAAGTTGATCCACCTTTAGTTCATTCATTTTTAAAAGAAAAAATTAATTAAAATATTTTAATAAATATTATTAGTTCAACTTATAATTTCATTATTATTTATAGAATTAATAAGAATAATTATAATTTTTCATGCAAAGGATTAAAATATTATATTTTTATTAAAAAAGTACTATAAATGAAAATGTATTAGTAAAAAATATGTAATTAAAACAACATAATTCTATTTTATATTAAATGATAATAGTTATCTAGAAATAGAATTAAGTTATAAAAACATTAATCTAACATAAATTTACTACAAATTCACATTTTAATAGTATAAAATAAAATAAAAAAATAGATTAACAAATTAATTCATTAAGTTAACAAATTGAATCGGTCGGATTAGACGGATTAATTCATCAAATTTAACACATATTATCAATTAGACGGATTAATTCACCAAATTTAACACATATTATCATTCTTTAATATGTAATTGCACAACATGCACTAATTAAATATTATTTTAATATCACAATATTTGGTCGTGTTATAAGCAAATAATAAATAAAAAAAGGGGAAAAAATAAAGAATAGTTGATATTCATTATCCATGTTTGAACTACTCATGTACAGTATTGTTATTGTTTATGGTAAATTTTATTCGTAGATATTTGTGGGTGTAAAATATTCTGTGATCCTATTTTAACTATGTTATTAGTCTGAATGATAAAATTATTAAATAATAGAACCTAATTCAGTTGACTAAACAGGTAGTGTGATTTTTCGTATTTGATCAATAGTACAAGTTTAAATAACCATTTTTATGTTACATAAACAACATCACTATTTAATTAACCATCTTAAATAGAATTTATCTTTTAAATACATTTTTGGTTCTTCTTCAAGATTTAAAGTTAAAGAGCTTGATAACTTGGTATTGGGAACAATGACATATTGGGACGATACACTTCAATATATATATAAAGATGAAGAGAAAGAAGAAGTAGTGCTTGGCATGACAAAAGCTGAGGTCGATTCACGTTGCTCATATATTTTGTAATTTATAATTTATTTGTTCAACGGATTTTTTTATTTTATTTTATTTTATTGGCATTTTGCAGCAGGAAGGGTGGGGTACGTGTCTTATCATGTTTGTAAGATTATGCCAAAAGAAATAGAACGAAAGGTAAAAAGTTAAAAGGGTTAAAACTGACTCTACGGATGGCAGCTTCTTATTTATTCCACAACAATGAGATCACAAGTTTATATAACAACGACTCTATTTACTACATCAATTAAATCGAATCAATAAAGACTTTAATTTTGATATATTCCCAATATAAAAGATCAACTGATTAAAATACATTTTAATTATTCTAAAAGAACATAAAATAGATAAAAAAAACAAGAGTATGACAATGTATAAAATAGTTTGTTAAGGTAGTTAAAATTAATTTGAAGGTATGTGGAGTAGTTTAGTATTTAAATGCCAACGGCAAACGGTTGGTCCACATATTATTTTTGGAGATGGCAGACAGGTTACATTTATACCTCTTTCAGGGTTAGGAGTTTTTTCTGTCTACCTTTTCTCTTTTACTCACAACTCTTAATAACTCATTCATTAAGACAATTATATTACTCGTATATTTTTATTATTAGTTGATATTTACGAAAAATAGTTAAAAAAATTATGATTAACAACCATTA